AGAATTGGCCATGAAATTAAATAAAGCAATAAAACTTTGCGGATTGTTCATTGATAATGAAAATCCATTCTTGGGTGCGTCTCCTGACGGACTTATTGAGGAAAATGGTCTTGTGGAAATCAAATGTCCTCTGTCGGCTGAACATTTGACAGCAGAAGAAGCCATAGAGACATTGCCTTCTTTGAAGTGCATCTTTGATAAACAAAATCCACATAAAATGAATCGGAATCACCGATATTTTTACCAAGTTCAAGGTCAATTGAATATAACAAAGCGAGAATATTGCATTTTTGCTGTTTGGACGCCAAAAAGCATAAAAATATTGCGTATTAGTACAGACAATGAATTCTGGAAAAATCAAATGCTGCCTTTTCTAACACGCTTCTACTACGAATGCATGCTTCCAGAAATATTGGATAGTCGCCATAATAGACATATGCCAATCAGAAATCCAAAATATATAACAGAAGCTAAAGAAGAAGCAACGAAACAAATAATTAGCCGAAAAACTATTCGACGAAATATTATAGAAAATGCAAATATTGTCGATATTTATGTATACGAACAAAAAAAAAAGACATAAAATAATATATATTTATATAAATAATACATTGTTGTTATATATCCATTGATTATATCGATTGGAAAAAAATGAGGTACATTGCATAGGTTGCAATTTATAGAAAGTTACATGATAATATGCAGAATATATGTATATGTATTATACACATAGATCTGTATACGTCTATGTACATATTATACTTATACATATACATATACACACACATATACAGGGTGTCCCATTTTAAAAGTTCCACTCTCATAACTTTTCAGGATCAACGTTTGAAGGAAAACGACTCGGATAAAAGTTGTAGGGAACAAAGGGGGCTATCTAATGGTGACCTTGGATTTGACATTAAAGATCATTTTCAAGGTCATTTGAAGGTTAACTTCCGTTTTTTTAAATGGAAACCCCCATTTTTTATTGCATATTCTTGTAGCTTATCTCGAGAGCTTTACAAAGGGGTACGTTCTGGGCCAGATATTTTTCCTCCACCAAAATCAACTAAAAAACATCAAAATCACACATAAAAGCACCAAAATTTAAAAAAAAACCGGCGCTAGCGAGCACATATCGTCAGGTGATTTTCCTCACAGAGGTTTTTGCAAAAATAAATAACATTCAGGTCACTGGCACAGTGTTAATTCACTTGTAAACCTGCATTTTTTTCATTCTTTTTAATTCAGGTCAAGCGACTGAAAGACGCCTGAAAGGTTTAGCCAAGGGGCGCTAAGTCCGAAGGACGCACTTCATGTAAGTCAATCATTAAGCTCACATTTTTTAAGTTCAGGCCCTCTCCTTTGAAAGTAAGTTTGATATAAGCAGGTAATTTATTTGCAATAAATCCAAATATCGATCCCTCCACATGAGGTATTTATAACCACCCTTACGAAAAGTACACCGAAATTTTCGGTGCTCAAAACCATACAATTTTTGTTCAAAACGTTTTTTTCTAAAATGCTTAGTTTTTGAAAGAAAAGAAGTGTACGGGTGGTCTAGGACACCCTGTATATACATATACACAACCAAATGTTATTCCTCTTGGAAGATATATGGGAAGACATAGCCCGTATGAACAATGTGAAATTGTGTTCAAATATGTAATAAATGCAGACACGTCTATATTACACTGTTATCTATACGCTTAGTACGCTTAGATACGCGTGCGAAGCGATAGAGCAGTAGAAATATAAGATGTTGTCTAATTTCAACATATTGAATACAATGCGAAGTTGCTTTTTTTAATACGCATAAATCGTGCATAAATATTAGTATCGGTAACGGCAGAACCAAAATTGTCGGTATTATCGATAATTGTGTCGATAATACCGACAATTTTAGTTATGTTTAGATGAGGGCGCTAACCCGTCGGAGTTTGCTCGTCGCTTTTGGATCTCCTTAAGATGATGCCGGAGCGACGGGCAAACTCCGACGAGTGAACGCCCTCATCTAAGTGTAACTAAAAGTGTCGGTATATTACCAACGCTTTATAGTTACATTACCGTTATCATTATGTAGAGTAATTGTCAAGGATATGTGCTGCGACGACTTTTCCTACCGTCTCGCGGCTGAGCGATAAACGCGGCCGCCGACTCGTTCTCTCCGTCGCGCGGGTGTAAATTGCGGCGACGAACAAGAGCTAATTCGCCGAACGGGAGATGCGGAATGGTCATTGACAAAAACGGGAAAACGGAGAAAAAGATCCACGCGCCAGGTGGGAACGGGATGTTAGGAGTTCCGCGCGTACCGTGACGAGATCCGAGAAATAATCGCGAGAATCGAACTTGGGCGCCAAATACGATCTTTCACGTATCAATTCGCGAAACACGAAATAAGCGCGAAATAAACGCAAAAGAAATTGCCGGAATTCGCCACGGGCTGACTAGCTCGCCTAACGGTAGAGGGGCAGGGCGAGTGTTAATCGAACGCGATAATTTATGCAAGAGACGACAAGTACGTAAACGACGAACACAATTGGAAAGAAACTCGTAAATTAAACAGAGAAATTAACAGATTTATTATAATAGCGGGAGCCGCAGCTCCTCGAGAATAGTAATGATAAACCGCGCGGATATACGGCTGCGGTAAAAGAAACGCGGCTGCGAGACTGGGTGTTAGACGCGGGGCGCGAAATCTCTCGAAAATTATATTTTCGTCCCATTATGTGGACACACTATTAAAATCACACTACAAAAACACAACTTTCGTTTTTTAAATTCAACGCGTTATAACGTGTTATAACAGTTGAGCGTACTTTTGCGGTAATCTCTTGTTACGCGTATGTACACAACACGCGCGACTGAGACTGAGTATCTGCCGCGCACTGATATGATCGCGTGTGCCTGCATGTGTGTGTGCATGGTACAGTCGACTTATTCCCCGATACATACATATACAGGGTGTCCCAGAATTCGCGGACACGGAATGCACTGCGTGATTATTCTTGCCAAAAGAAACAACTTTTTTCTCTGGCAAAATTGCGTCTGAACAATACTTTTTAAATGAGAGCAATTTTAAGATAACGAATGAGCGCTCTAGGTTACGCATGAATCAGGGGCGGCACGCGGACAGCACGTAAGCGTGTTGTAGGTACGCTATTTTACTATTTCGCTAAAAATTTTATAAGAACTGTGCATGATATCTAAATATCGCTATTTTGAATAAAACACTTCATAAAAGAACATTTTCTAATTGATATCACCAAAGCAACGACTAAAAGTAAAATAAGTAAATTAGATAACACATGAATAATTTTGATCCAAGATTATTGTTCCAACATTCTAAAAATGTTTGTGGCTCTGAAAAGGGCTGATTAAATGTTTAATAATGTCTAATTTTTTTATGTTGCTATTGCAAAATGAAGCTGTTCTTTCAAATCTTCTTTCGAGATAATGTCTCGCCCGTCTACAATATTTAGATATTATGCATAGTT